AACCTCCACAGCAGATACCGCCCACACAGGCTCCACCAACACAACCCGCCTTCACAGCAGACAATCCTGCCGTTCGGCTCCTGCCAGCAAGCAGCGACCCCACCTTGTATGATGACCACGGACGACCGCTTCCACCGGGGCAACAACCATATTTCCCAGAGCATGATCCATGGCATGCGGACAGCTACCAGCTACCAGCGCTGACGCGATCGACATGGCCAATACGGCCATTTAGCCACAGTTGTTTTCATTGGCTCTATGTTTTTCCACCTGGTATCCATGCTTTTTCATTCAACTTCCACCTTTCAACTGTTCTACTTTCGGTGTTCTCACTCATTTTCAAATGTACCTGCTACCCAGCCATTTTGCGGACATATACCACTAACTGCGACCTCAGGCTGTTTCACCCTGCACCACGAAAAATCATCAGCAGTCCGTTCAGTGGCACGCATCTGGTGTTTCAGTACTCACCGGGGAGCTTTCACCACTTTCCAGTGAACCACATTACACTTAGTTTTCATGTCTCTTCGTTCTTCTTTCCCATCGCATGATGTCATGACTCTCGGGTTTCCCTCCCTTGCATAGCTTTTTTGCTCGAACAGCCAGCTTTCCGCGCGCCCATCTTTGATCAGCTGCCCGGCATCATGGACGCTCAATGGCAGCAGTACTATTGGCAACACTACCTGTTGCAACAACAACAACAGCAACACGCTGCGCATCAGAGCTCAGCCGGCCACCCATACACCCCCACGGGTACGTATGACCCACGCGGTCCGCACGCAGCAAGCCCATCGCACACATCCTTACACTCCTTCTCCTTCACCTTCACACCTCCGCCACCCCTACCAACCGCAGCTCCGGTCACTCCTACCGGGACATCTTTCAAGCGCAGCCCTACTCTCAGCTCCGACAGCACCACCGGCCACTGTCCCGTTCCCCAAGCCACCTATTCACGACTCCTGGCATCCCGCCGACACACATTGGGATTCCAATTCCCTGCGCGGGCACCAACTTTACCGCACCATTCAACCCACCCAATGGTCCCGTCGGGTCGGCGTTGCGGGCCTTCCCACATTTGACGTTTACCCGTGGCTGTTGGCCTACCACGGCGCAGCAGATTACACCGCAAGGACCCTCAGCCACGGGAAGTACTGCGGGTTGATCCCAACCCGCAGTATAGCAGAGTCGGTGTTTACAACACACTTACTCCAGGAGATTCGAGACAAGAGTTTTGACCTCGACGCCATTGCAGAAGCCCTGCACACCACCCACGGCAACGCCGTACCAAACAAAACTACACAAGCTCGTGCCTTCCACGCTCCACTTATCAGCCTCCTCACCCAGCAACTCCAAGCCCATGCCCCGGCCGCAGCCGAAGGTTCCGCCCTTCGGGCCTTGAAAGCCACTACTGATGATTTGGTCCGCGCCAAGGAGAAACTTCAAGCCCACGGCATCGACCTCACCCCACGCAAGGAAGCGGGCTGAGTGCATCGGTAGCGGCTCCAGTAGAACCACCCGTCCACAAGCCACCAGTGCTGTCCGATGTCCTCCAACCGCCACATCCATCCTTGAAGGATGACGTCCCTGAGTCTTGGACAGCTCCAGCCATCCAAACATGGATGAGCACTTTTGATCCTGCAATCCAAGAATCCGCCAAAGAGGTTCTTCGTATCTTGCAAACGGGCAAGGTCACCACTGAACAGCTGAAGGAAGCTGCCACCCGTTACGGCTTACCGCTGGCCAGGGTGAATCGTCTCACCATCAAGAGCCTACAGCATATCGTCAGCATTGGCGCGGCAACCGCCTGTTGACTCTGTCTCCTCAGCCAACAGCTGCCTACCAACACCAACGTGCAACAACTTTTTCACCTACACCGTGCCCTTTCCACACTGATACACAAAACACAATACATCGAACATGCTGAAGCCATTTTTGCTGCAGGCCTCATGCGCATCACACTTCTCTTTGCCTATCCTTCTTCCACACAAAGATCCCAACAATGGCGCAAGCGCTTCCGCCAACTCCACATCCTACCTCACACCTACCACTACCACAACTTCCTCTCCTCCAATTCCGTTTACATCAAACTCCATTTCAACACCATTGAGCCTCAACGATGCTACCACCAACATGGCCACTTTTATGTGGGCTCCACAGCTATTGGCATTCCCCACCGAGAGCACAATCGGCGAGCCAAGCTCAAACAACTCCAGAACAACATCCCTGTTTCCGCTGAAATACGTTTCACGACAACATCCACCACTTCACCACCATCCAACTTTCCTCTCATGAGAACTACGATCAAGCCTAAATTCACGAACTCCACTACATCTCCAACTGGATGCCTCCCCTCAACTGGCCTTTCATCTCCCAGCACCTCAAACTCAAAGCCCAAGGATGGCAACTCACCAAACACCGAGCTCACTTCTACTCTCGCCTCGCCACCCATAAGCGGCTCTTTCGCCGCTTGCGCCGACAACAACAAACAATCAGAGAACCACACCTTTTCACCTCCACAAAACATCACGCACTCACTCTTCTCCGCAACCTCACAAAACATACCTCGGCCTCCTTTGAAGCTGCCAAACAATTGCGTAGCGGCCGCCGCACTGATCTTGAAGTTTATGCCATCCGACGTATGGCTTCCAATCTTGAAGAGCCAGGCCGCAGTCGAGCCTTACACATCATCAACAAAGCACTCCAGTATCGCAACCTGACTCCACCTAAACCCAATATCCCACTTACCGTGCCATTCCTCGCGCACGACGACTTCACCAAGCACTGTCAGCAGTGGCTGCGGGCCACCATACAACAACACAAGCATCTTGCCATCCCACTGCACCTTCCTACCCACCGCATGCACGAAGCTGCTCACAAGACACTTCGGACGCAGCTCCACAACCACCGCACTTGGAAAGACAGCCTACACACACACACCCTGACCCTTCCGATCTTCCGTGCGCTTGCTCGCATCTCCAAACACTTCTTCTTGAGCCAACCACACCCCACCAACAACCACTACATACTCACTTTGGATCAGCTCACACTGCCACCACATCTCCGCATCTTTCTCGATGCCAATATGAACAGCACTTTCTACCCCAGCAAGGCCCGCTACTTCCTCACTTTCCGAACAGCCTTCACAAAATGGCTCAGCCAACACTTGGAACCTTTCCTCCAACATTAAAGGCGACTCCACACCACACATCTCAAGCAACACCCACGTTTCACAGCTCGCCTTCTTCTCCGACAGCTTCAAGAGTACCTGGGTGACAAAGTCGTGCTCCACCATGCCGATCACGAACTCCAGCAGCTCCGAGTGTTCTGCCCTCGCCAATACTTCACAGGAGCACTCAACACATGGCAAGCCCCAGAACTTGTCGAACCACTACCACACCTTACATCCACGACCACCTCTCGGCCACCATTCCAGCAGGCCTCCGTTCGTTCTCGATACAAATGGGGCTTTCGAAAAGATTTTACCATCCCATACGGCATTGTCCACCTCAAAGCCAAAAAGCAATGGCGAAAAGGTCGCACCATCATTTCCTACTTTCACTCACTGAGCGGCAACCTCCTACGTATCACCAGCCGGGCACTTGACATCATTTTACAGCGCCTTTTTCCACAACATCCAGGGCAACTTTCCATCCCACAACTTTGGCGCCGTTTCCACTGCTACCTCACCCAAACACCCACAGACGTCACCCTTCACGCAACCAACGATGACCTCCTCGGTTTCTTCAACTCCGTGCCCCAACACCGCCTCATCGATGCGGTCCACTCCATGATTCAGCAATGGCAAACTCAGCAGTCCACTGACACTTTGACAGTGGACGCCAAGGCCACCGGCAACCCTTTCCATCATTCCCTTGTTGGCAGGCGCTACACAAAACATCCCACACAACGCACCCTTCACACGTCCGACATCACCACCATTGTCGCCTTTGCACTGAACACGTGTATTTTCCGGGAACGCAACAATATCTACAAGGAGATTTGAGGGGCTGGGATTGGCTCCCAACTCTCTCCTGCCCTCTGCAACGTCGCCATTACCTTGATCGAACACTCTTGGCACCAGCTACACCACAATCTTCTTCAGCGCACAGCCCTCCATTTCTCTTACTACAGGTATGTCGACAACCGTTTCATCGTGCACAACGAACACTTCCTCTCCCCTCCAGCCATTCAGACTCTCGTCCACCACAATTTCTTTGGCGATCCCGTCGAGCTAGAAACTGTGGACGACTTTCACCTCCTGGGCTTCAACATCGACCTTCCACAACGCACAATCACCTACATCCAACCCAACCAACCCTGGAAAATCAGGGATCCCACCAGCGCCGGTAGCCAGCGCTTGGCTCTCTCCGGCTTAGCTTCACGCCTCCATGCAATATACACATACAGCTTTCCACCAACCACAGCAACGGCAGCAGCTGAGGAACTAGTCCGGCTTTACGTCCAAAAAGGACACGACTCCACTCAATGCCGGCGCCTTCTACGGGAAAAAAACCAGCGCCACCGTCTCCTTCCATGCACGTGCGCCGAAACCGGCCACGTGTGTGTGTGTGTGTGTGTGTCAAACCCTGTCCCTAAGGGTCTTTACCACCTCCCATGTTCTCATGCAGGGGGGCGCCGGGGGTACTGATGAGACCGGTGCTAACCAAGACGCTCATCAGCTACCTGTGATACAGTTGGAGACGTCCAACTGCGTATCTGCTGAGTTGTCCACAAGCTGTTACCCTACTTCTCCATTTTTTGATTCATGGTGGTTCGCATGATACCTTCCTTAAGCCTTTCTTTTGCCGCCTTTCTTCGTTCGCGCGCAGCTGTTGCACCACTGCAGATGAGAGAAACTCCAATGTTCAAACACCTTCAATTGATCGGACTCTTCACCTTGCCGTTATGCCACTCCTTTTCTCCTGGGAATTGAGTTAACTGAAAACCAATGTCAGAGTGTGAACTACGACTCTTGATGTCGGATCGGTTGACTTTGGCAGGCATCAGGGTCTCCTCCAGCACCTGCTCCCGACATACGTCGGGGAGGCAACCGAACTCCGGTGCGGGCAGCAAGCGGATCGTGGTAGCTTGGGCAGCACATACAAAAGGATGATCTGGAGTTGCCGTCCGTGTAATTTCAGGAATAGAATGTAAATAGGGACATAACGTATCATGAACTGAGGGTCTCTATCGCAGGTTCAGCTGTTTTTTTGATTGTGTTTGTATATGAGCTGTCACCACCAACCAATCGCTTCACATTTGCCACACATACTGAGGAGTCCCGGTTCCATTGGCCGAAGTCGCAGCGGACTTGATTTGGAGGACAAATTGTGGTGCAATCTGTTACATAGAGATGTTGCACATTGTTGCACTCTCTGATGGGACATCCAGAAGTTACACGGTGGCACATCGATGTTCGTTTACACAGTGATACACAGTGCAGGTTGCGGATGAACATCGAGGCAGTATTGGTGATTTTTGCTTTGATGTCTGATGAACTTGCTGAGAGAAATGATTTTCTTATGAAAATGACAGGTCTGGAATGCAAGGCCATTCCACTAGCCCGAAAATCACGAACATCTCCCAGTGCTGGGAACAAGCCTTCGACTGCACCTTCCCCGGTAGGTGCCTCACGTGTAGTAGAGTAGATGCTATGAGTTTGAATAGCTACATGTTCTCGCAAAGGCTTAAGGCTTAGGTTGGAGGCCATCGCTAGTAGGTTGGAGGCCGTCGCTAGTGGGTTGGAGGCCATCGCTATTAGAAACAAAGGAAATAGAATGCTTCATTGAGTTTCTCTCTACCGACCAAGGCTATGAGCTCCCGAGAAGTTCTTGAGGACCTCTCAATGTCGGGCACTTGAGGCGCTGCGCCTTGCTTGTGCAGTTTCCCACGACAGATTCCCAGGCATGGGCGCACTTGGCCAGAACGTATGGCTGGCTTGATCGGCGAGGCACAGTAAAAAGATCTGAAATGTGTGAGATAGACATGTCTTATCCACTGCATAGCCTTTGCTCTCTTGGCTGAAACTGAAAGCTCTTTTGGGATGGTGAATTTATAACAGTTTCTTTTGGAGGCAAGCACTGGTGCTGCGACAATGCCAGACCCTTTTGCCGGCACAAGGCACTAGTTCCATAGCTTGAGCCACTATGAACATCATGAAATTGAGGCATGCAAGGCCTCACGGTGTGTAGAGCTGGAGTTCTTGTTGGTAGGGTGGGGTGTGGTCAAATTTGTATATCGATGACAGACTTGTAAAGCCAAAGTTGAAGTTCTGAGAGTTGGGCTGCTGGCTGTCTCTACACAGTATATATTATATATATGCACCTTGCGGCAACTTGCCCAACGCTGGAACGGGGTACGTTGACTTCAGCATGCGAAGCTTTTCACTCCTTTGTCTTAGCTCGATTCTCGCCATTCTCATGATGCTTACGATGTTCGCGATGCTGACTCTGCCACCCCATGGATGGAAAAATCACAGCGATTTTGACAAGCGCAGCAATGCTCAGAGAATTGCAGAGATCATGGGAGACCTGGAGCTCTTACTCATTTGGGACTTTGAAGTGGCTCGCACATCGTGGCTGAACATCTGTGGCTCCATGATCGTCACAAACGTCGGCACCGGCTTGGACACTCTGGGCAACAAGAAGCCCGACCTGTCGGGTGGCCACAAGCAGAAACTTGATCATCGACAGGCACTTTAAAGATGAAACCAATTTCTGGGCTTAAAGTTAAAGCAATTTTGGGAGGGTGCTGGGGCCAAAAGAGTAGTTGAGTAGGCAAAAGCACTCGAAAAGAGGTTCTTGCTCCCACATTCGTGGCTTGTCAGAACTGGGCAACCATCTTTGCACGATTTGGACTTGCGAAGTGCGTATGTTGGATGGCCTCCGCCTGTCAATGACCGTGTGCGGATTGCCTGTAAATGCACTTGAAATTGGTTGCGCTTGGACTGCTGGTTCACCCAATGCTGGCCATACAAACCATACAGGGATGTTGAAGTTCCGAGGCTGAAAAAGGATGAAGGTCTACCTAGTCTACTTTGTCTGCTTGGTTGGAGAAGTTGACACTTTGGGATCTTTCGGGCTTCATGTATGCTCATTGGACCTTTGCAGGCATGATGTCGCATTGGCGAAGCAAGACGAGTAGAGCAGGGTATGATGTGGTTGCCTACTGTGTGCAGATAGATTTGTGCTTTTTGATGTGGCTGCTCTTGATGTGCCGATGGGCCTCGCTCTGTTTCATCCAATCTCCCTGTATGCGCATGGGGCCGCTTCCATGGAGGGCACGTTGTACTAAACAAGCTCGGTTCCTGATGCGGGGCCACCATTTCCTGGACCATTTCTTTCAGTAGAAAGCATAAGCTGCCTCACCGTTGGCGCAAAAGTAATTGTAGGGGTTCGAGAGGTCCCACTTTGTTGCATGTGACGTGACTTTTGCTTTCATGTTTTTGACTGCAGACTGAACATACTAGTAACAAGAAGCTACTAAAGGCTCCTGGCCGTACTACTAGGAGCAAGGACGCTGCTAGGGGCTCCTGGCATCGCTACTAGGAGCATTCTTACTACTAGGAACAAGAGATGCTATTAGAAACAAAAACCACTAGGGGCTCCTGGCCTTACTGCTAGGAGCAGGGACGCTACTAGGGGCTCCTGGCATCGCTACTAGGAGCATTCTCACTACTAGGAACAAGAGATGCTACTAGGAACAAGAAGCTATTAGGGGCCAGGACTACTAGGAGCAAGGACACTACTAGGGGCTCCTGGCATTGCTACCAGGAGCATTCTCACTACTAGGAACAAGAGATGCTACTAGGAATAAGAAGCTACTAGGGGCTCCTGGCCCTACTACTAGGAGCAAGGACGCTACTAGGGGCTCCTGGCATTGCTAATAGGTGCATTCGTACTACTAGGAACAAGAGATGCTACTAGGAACAAGAAGCTACTAGGGGCTCCTGGCCCTACTACTAGGAGCAAGGACGCTACTAGGACGCTCCTAGGGGCTCGTGGGATCGCTACTAGGAGCATTCTCACTACTAGGAACAAGAGATGCTACTAGGAACCTCAAGCCTTGAGCGCCAGGGGTGAGAGCACCGAGCGCAGTGCGAGCAAATCGCATGGCAGGGATGCTGAGGACGCACCATTTTGCGAGGGAACAGTGCAGATGCCACTTTTCTTCAATGACGGCTTCATTTACATGTATAACTTACCATTGATTGTGTCCGCAGACCGGACAGGTGATTTGTTTTCCAAAACACATGGTTGAGACGCACTGAAGACGCATGCCACATGCCCATTTAGCGACCAGGTTGACACGCGCACATAGGCAACTCCATTGCTCACCTTTCCAAGAACTTCGTGAAAGATGCCTGATAGCGGTCCAAACACTTGCTAGTCATTCTGCCTTGTTGTGAATCCCTTTGCCAACGTATCTTGACCCAAATTGAGCTGATAAGTTCAGCAATGAACATTCACAGAACTGTCCCTGAACCTTTGGCAACACTCCCTCCTACACACAAAAAATGCAACCTTTGCCGGGTCATGTGATCATCCCACCCAGATGCATGTGTGCAAGTCTGCATGAGCAGTTGTAGCTTGGATGCATCACCTCATGACTATTTAATGTTGGCGGGAGGGAGTCCACAAGGAAGGCAAGCAGACTACATTCGGATCGGAATTACAGGCAGTCTTGTGGGTGGTGAACGATTTTCAAGATCTGATACCTATCAGAAAATCCATATCACAGCCACACTGATTCCAAATGTAACTTTCTTTTCCACACTAGCATCTCTGAAAGTGCATCAAGTTTTGCTTGGTGTGGAACATAAGCTTGTCAATGTGAATTGGTAAGACGGCTCGACAATTGTGAAATCCCCACAAAGATAAATCGAGTAGGAAGAGCAACGAGAAACAGGGTGGGCAGACTTGCGGGATATCCATTTTAACAATCATGCAGATGATGCGGCTGTCCAAATTAGGCACACAGAATGCCAACATCGTTTTCCAATTCTCGTACATGCACGGTGTGATTATGAACTGAATAGCATTTTTAAATCCTTGCCGCATGGAGTTACAGTATTTGGCACATAATTATGAAACACACAGATGACCCAGAGCGACGGCAAGTGAGGGCAGTGGACACCATGCTAGTGGACACCATGCTAGTCAATTTGTAACACAGTGGTGTCGTTTTCTCCAGCTTGATCCTCCACTGGAAATGATCTTTGAAGCATTTCTATGGGGTCCAAACTTGCCAAAACACTTGTGGGAGTACTTTAGACACATCAAATGGCCACCTGCAGGCTGTATCTCCTGGCCTGGGAAGGCTTGGCAGAAGTTTAATTTTCGTTCATGTTCACCTGCAGTGCAGGGTCGTATCTGACTAGGAGCGGAAAGATTGCGGGTGGTGGTGCAGGGTGCCACCCTGTTTTCCCCAACCAAGCCTTCACTCTGCGCACAATTCAGGAATATCGCGGCCATTTATGTATACTGTATATATATATAGTGTTTTTTCTTCGGAAGCGTTAAGACTAGAGGAACATGGTGGCAAAAGTGCTTGGCAAAAGTGCTTGGCAAAAGTGCTTGGCAAAAGTGCTTGGCAAATTCTGTGTTTATATATATATAATACACATATATATATATAGGTGATATTATATATATTACATTATTTTAGTACATATCCAGTAACTTAACTACTGTAGGCGATGCCCCCACCATTTTTGGAGCTGGCGAACAAGCGCGGTGCAGTGCACTCGACGAAAGAGCTGAGTGCCTCTCCACTTGCAACAACAGCTTTGAGCAGGTTGGAGACCATCCCTCTTAGGTTGGAGGCCATCGCTAGTAGGTTACCTAGGTTGGAAGCCATCGCTCTTAGGTTGGAGGCCACGCAGCACTCAGCAACTCACGACACATTTTCGTCGTCAGTCTCGTCGTCAGATTCAATGACATCCATGGCCATGGTGTCCTCTTGGCCCAAGATCAACGTCGTAGCCTGTGACGACGGAGTTGGAACCAATGCCTGCTTGAAGTCCTTCTTGAAGCACCAAAGTCGCCAACCAGCAAGGTAGCCAACAAAGTTGACCCGACAACTGGAACGCTCATGCATTTTTCCTGCCAGCCGGCCAATATAAGAATTGGATTGCCCAACCAACTCCACCAGGGCCAGCGTGGGAGCTCCAGTGCCAGAGCAACCTGTCGTGACCACCTCATGCGCATAGCATGATTTGGCACAATGTTGTTCAAAGAGCAGCTGAAGCAATCTGATGTCAAAAGTCAAAAGAATTCTCAACTAATGTCCCTCTCGCTTCTTTGAATATGCAATGCAAGACACAAGCTCGTCATCCAAAGACTGCCGCAACAAGTCAGGTGACAAACCCAGCTTGCCCAACCCAAGTCCAAGAATCTTTACAGCCCGATGCAACAGAGTTTGGACTATCAGCGCCAACTGCATGACCAGAGAACGGCCAACATCACCTACACTCTTCGCCCTTGCAGAATCTGTGCCCACAACTTGGGGCAAGAGTTGCTTGGTGATGAGGAAGGCTTTGAACCAGCATCGCTTTCCACCAATGTTCCTCCAGAACATGCACATGAGCAGCATGCCATTCCACTAGACTCTGGTTCCGACACCTCAGGTTGATCAACAGCCGTTGCTGTAAACACGAATCACCCTTGTGTATCCTCTCAAGATGGGAGGGTCATTTTGCCTGGCGTCGGCTTTTGCCATGTGGCTACGCAGAGCGTGAAAAGGTCACTCGAAGTGGCAATCCAGTGGGAAGCTGGAGCGCTTTGGCTCCGTACAAGACGTGAAGTGCTAACACGCATCGAACGAAAGCTGCAAAGCTTGAAGTGACCTTTTCACTCTCTGCGTAGCCACATGGCAAAAGCCATCGCCAGGCAAAATGCCCCTCCCATCTTGAGAGGATACACAAGGGTGATTCGTGTTTAACAGCAAAGCTGAGGTTCCGGAACCAGAGTCTAGCGGAATGGCAGTTGTTCTGGGGGAACATTCAAGGCCCACTATGTTCTCACATGTTCTCACATCCAAAGCGTTTAAACTTGTTGAGCAATTTTTTTGGGGCATGCAGCGTGCTGCGCGCTGTGGCCAACAGTTTCCGAATATAATCGGCAACCAGCGTCTCAGTTTTTCTTCTTCCCACGGCAGAGGGATGTGGTTCCTTTGGACCTTTAAGCTTAAGTGATTGCAACTTCGCTGCTATACTCAATGTTTATATTTTTATCTTCCACCGAAAGCCAAGCTTCACTGGGAGCGAGGAGGGCAGCAGCAGTAGTAGGTAGGCGCGCGATATGCAGCAACAGCAGCAGCAGCAGCAGCCGCCGCAGCAGCCGCAGCAGCAGCCGCAGCAGCAGCCGCAGCCGCAGCCGCAGCCGCAGCCGCAGCCGCAGCCGCAGCCGCGGCCGCGGCCGCAGCCGCGGCAGCAGCAGCGGCAGCAGCAGCGGCAGCAGCAGCAGCAGCAGCAGCCGCCGCAGCAGCAGCAGCAGCAGTCAAAGTATGCGACGCGAAACAGTTTTTTTTGAAAGGCAGGATCAGGCTCGCCATGGCGCAATGCTTTGGCGCTTGGGATTTTTGTGCGGACAGGTAGCCGCTGATGTTTGTGCAGTGTTCATGAGGACCGACGAGTGCGCAGCTTGTCGCCCAGACCTGGAGACCGCAGCCAATCCCCATTGGATGCTGGAAGGACAGACATGGACAAAGGAAACTCAGGACCGTTTGTTCTGCGAGTTGTTCTGTAGAAGACCGTTCGGAGGATGCGGCAAGAGGTTCAGGCCTCTCCAGCCAGATCAATGACGCGACAGGCCAAACCGAGTCTTCTTGTGTTGTTGCTGCCGCCTGTTGTTGCGAAGAGATGTGACTCTTGACAGTGCCGAGCCAAGTGCATGAAATTGGCCAGTACAACAATTTATGATTTGTTGCGAAATCACAGCAACAAGTCACTGCATGGTGTAGGTGCCAGACCGCCCAGAAAGTTTCAGACTTGGTGTCATTTGTGCATCCTTTTCGTGAGCCACATGGACTTGAGGCGACCGCAGATTTGGACAGCAGAGCGAGGCTCCTGAAGTTTTCAAGTGTGACACCCGAGCAAAATTTTTGATAACATTTGATTTGCCACTTGTTTGCGTTCTTTACATTCACTGGGAGAGCCGCTAGGGGCATGCGACCACAGTGCGATCAGAAGGGCGCTGGATGTTTCATCGAGCCAGCGCCAAAGAGCTGCCGAACTTCTCATTTTGACGCCTTGCTTTACACTTCGCCCACGGTTCCATCATGTTCCATCTATCCATGGCCATATGAACATGGCTTGAACGGATTTTACTTGTCCCAGCATGTCGGCATATTGGTGGACTGGTCTGATGTTGCGAGTGTTGCGGGCGTCCGCGGCGTGTCCTTTAAACCTATACACCGGCTATCTGGGGTCTATGCCGGCGTAATTCTTTCTGTTCTGCATTTTTCCGGAGGAATTCATTTGCATTGCTCATTGTTATTGTCTTATTTCTCTTTCTGGCATCTTCTATTGTGACTTTCTTTGATCCAAATCCTGACCTATCAAAATACACATTACCTATACTTTCTGCGTATCACTCTTATTAGTGAGCGGCAAACACTTATCTAGAAGAACAGTTACAATAATCACAGTAGGCAGCCAGTTTTTCCTGTGAATGTGACACATATTACCAACTCTTTAGCAGGTGAAATTTGCTACTGATCGCCTCCTTCCTACTCTCAATGTAGAAAACAACACCCACGGTTTCCGCATGTTCCATTCAACCAGTCCAAACACCAATCCACATCAACATACATTTCTAGGTTCAACGTTCTTTCTGCCGTTTTGTGTCCATCATTTTTAAAAGAATGCTGTTTAGTTTTTGTACTTGCCTATTTTGTTCTGCCCCATAGTCCCCCGCCCTCTAGCAAAACACGACAGGCGTCGGGAGAAACGTGGAGAAACATCCAAAACAAGCGGAGCGGGGAGGCCATCGTGTTGGGGGCTGTGGAGGGAGAGGTGTCGGCCTTTACCGCCGAAGAGTACCCGTCTCGAGAACAGAAAGAGAAAACATGAACAAGCGGTGTGGTGATGCATAGTGAAATTGAAAGCATGAATATCCTCCCAGCCAAGCTATAAGTGCTCCAAGACGGTCTACATCGAATTGGCCTGGGAGTTGTTGCCAAGCCATGCTGGCCATGCCCGATTCCATTTTTCTCTCCTCCTTTTGCCACCCTGTTTGCTTTTGCAATCACAAGTCGCAGTACGACTCCAAGTAGTGCTGGCTTCTTATTCTTGCAGGTGTCCCCGATCCCAAGTATATCGGCAAAGTTGAATCCCTATGCGCGTGACCTTTGCAGATACAATCTGCGAAATCTAGCTCCTCATCCCAATATGGATAAATGTCGCTGCATAGTTTACGAATCCAGACCGCCATGTCGACATGCGGCTAGATAGGTCGTGGGGAGTGCGTGCTGCTTGTGCAGTGGTCAATTCTCTCAGGTTCGAGGTTTTCTAGCAACGTGACTTGCACCGGAAGTGAAAGCATTGTGAAGTCTTTCGGAGACGAGTCCATACACACATGATTGCTGCATGCATCAGCATGCATAAAGACATATATATTTACATGTAGTTTTGCGGCAGAGACCAAAACCCAGTAATTAATTAATACTGATCTCGCGAATCGCGAACATTGATGATGGAATGGGTGGCCAGTCTAAGCCCACGCATATACTGGAAAAAGATGGAACCAGGCTGTAACATCTTGTACCCTGTTGGATGGCCGTTTTTGTGCAAAAGTGCACATTCCTTTCAACATTTGGAGCACCAAGCAAGAACGCACAACAGATTGTAGCAGTATGCAGTAGGGGCTCACAATGTGGTTGCAAAAGGGCAGGATGCCTCCTGCATAGATAGAACCGATGTCTCGACCTCTCCCACCTTTCACTGTGAGTGCAATGTGGGAACATGTTTCAAGAGCATTTATTTGCAAAAAGTGCATCGCTTCTAAACTCCCGGAGTTTAACAAGTTCAAAACCTTCAACCGCAAGAAGGCCTGGTCTGCTTTGGGTTTGAAGCAATGGCTTCCCCAGCTAACTAAGATGTGTCATGAGGGCAAGAAAAGGTCTACATACATACATCATATATTTGTACATATATAGTTATATGTCATGCAATATGTTACAACATATTTTACAATTACAACGGTATATATATACACTGTAGTATTGTTATTCTTCGCCATGCTTGATTGATCATCAAAGGCGGCCTGCCATGTCAGAAGTCTGTCTCAACTTTGGTATGGTTTTCAACCCCCCCTTTTTTCGCTTGGGCATGGCTTTGGTATTTGGTGCAGGAAGCTTCTGTCCCTTGCGCCACATGGTGAGCCGGGCTTGACCTGGAAAACTTCATTCCAACAGGGCTTTGCGGCCATCATAGCTAGCTTGTCCGACTTGTCCCATTCTTCAAGGTCATGATGCCACAATCCTTGCAGGCGAGGCCTCAGCTCAAACTGATGCTGCCCCATGTGGTCAAGCTCACCAGCCAACATCTCCACGCAATGCTGTTTGGCCTCCAGAGCGCATTCTGTTCGCCACCAGAAAAGGGTCGCTTTTTGCGATGTCACAGCTCTAATCCATTGCTTCCACCATCTTCTGATACTGCGTGTCCATGTTGATCCCAAACATGTCTATCGACTACCTGAGCCACATGCAAGCTGTGGAAGGCGTCCTTCTTCCTTTGTCGGGCCTGCTCACGTTTGTTCTTGCCTTTCTCCCTTGTGCATGAAGTGCTGCTTCCCTTTCTCCCAAGCAAGCCAGCTGGCGTCAAGGAGTCTGGAAAGTTCTCCCCAGTTGGCTCACTTGATCGGATCAGACGGTCTTTTGAGATCCAGCCTTGGCCACATTTCCCGCAGACATGCTTTTGCATGATCTTCAATAAGTAGGGATCTCCTTCCCGATGTCTTCCTTGACGATGGGCAAAAGAAAGTCCAGGATATCACGTGATCCAGGGTCTGCACAGGCAGGATTTCTTGTGGGCTCCTGCTTGAGCACTCACAGATTGAGCCATAATATACATATTTGTAGACACGTATGGTTGGGTTGTTCCATGTACTTTCCTTTCAGAGTTACTTAGTCTGAACGAGGTGGTTCTCAGGTGCCCAATTTTCACGTTTCAGGATGGCATCGAAGAAGAGCATGAGCTCGAGCCAGCTTCAGGGGAAGGCAGGGAACGTTGCCTGTGTGCACACTGTCTTGTACTGGTAAATCAGAATCATATGCGCACAGCAGAGCTTAGCTTTGTTTTTGCAATCTGAAGGACGGTACTCGTAGGATTTGGGTGAAGGGAAAAGGCGTCCCCGTTAGCGGTAGCAGTAGCCAGCTGCACCCACCATTGGTGAACTCCACCGCGAGCTGCCCCTTGTGGCCTGCGCAAGAAGTGGCAAGGCCGTAGGTTTCACCTGCGTGGCGACCTGGATGAACTGGTGCTGAATGCACATATATATATATATTTACATACACATATATACCTCGCTCGTCGGACAGTCTGCATCGACGGTATGGATGACACTCTGGTCATGACCATACGCTTGAACCCCACATGCAGATTCGCAGTGAGTCAAAACATCAGCCTAAGTGTGAAAAGGTAATGCGCCAGGAATTGATCGTTCGACCAGCTCCAGCGCGAAGGGTTTGTGCAAGACTCAACAATGTACAGTGATCCAGAAATGGGGCAGCTTTGACGATTGCACTAGGGCTCAAAGTTCTGCCCAATGACTTTACAAACGTAGCATGGAAGGTCCCGGGGCACGGCTGGGACGAGTCATCTTTCAGCAGAAGCTGGAATGCCTGCCTGATCTTGCAAGCGATTTCATGAATGGTGACTTCCGAATAGTCACCATGTAACCGAAACCCTGCTGTATGAAAGGCGAGTGCTAATTCGCAGAAGGCAACACTTGATGTATCCTCTTGTCTCCACCGAAGTTGCTGAGCCCACTGACAGATTGTCTGCCAATCATCCAAGGAATGTCGCCAACGTTTAGGTGGCGGGTGTTGCAACGGAATCTTGGGTTTCCACCTGTACTGTCTGATATTGCTATGCCATGGCCACGCGGAAACGTTGTTTGCGCATCAGCAAGGGTCAATCGCAGTTCAGTGGGTTGGACAGGTCCTTGGTGTGAGGGATGAATACAATCAGTAGTATCCAACAGTCCATGTGTACGCACTAGCCATCCTTGATGTTGCTTGGCCGCCTGTACAACATTTGCACCGATTTCCGGGTATATCGGGGCAACTCGGGCTGCGCATTCTTTCGCAACTCTGTCTGCTTGTCTGTTGCGGACAATATGCTCGATAGTAGTTCCAGCTGCATGAGCCTGGGCTGGACTGATTTGCCAAGGTTCAAACTCCTCTAAGCAGTGTGCAGGGATCGACGAAATGCGAAAAGGGCATGGATGACGCTGACTCCTGTCAGTGAGAACTTGATGTATAGCTTGCCACCAGTCCTGGCATTGCCAATTGGATTTTATGTGCCCTGTGTGTAAGAGCCAGTGAAAGTTGCGTACGACCGCCTGGTTGTCGCAGTAGACCTGTACTGGCCCATGAGCAGTAGATAGGGCAATCCAAGTTGCCCACAGTTCTGCAACGAAGCTTGAAAGCCTCCATCGTCGAACACGCCCACACTGCAATGTGGTTCCATCCTTCCGAATGACTGCAAAAGCTGCAGTAGTGAGCCAGTAATGTGACTGGAAAAGAACCGAGCCGTCGGTCCAGACCTCGGCAACAGGTGCATCAGGGCTAAATGGTTCTGCAGCAAAGGGATCTGCCAAGTCAAACTGCAAACGAAACTGGCTGAGTCGCTTAGGGTGTTCAACAGTCCCAAGTAAGGAAAAATTTCCCCGAGCTCATGCAAGGTTGGGGGACCATTGATGTGATGAAAAGCGCTACACTCATGAACGAGATGATGGAGCGTTTCTTTGCATGAATATATATATATATATTCACAACTGTGATTGGTAGACGGAACCCTTCCCTCTCAACCTGGACGACCACGTCCGCCAACAACAATGACCACTGTCAATATAAAAAAGACCAAGGTGCCCTGCACCACAATGTAGACAACCCTCAAAAGTGCCCTGCACAACCACTGGTTTCCACCCTTCCGTAGCCAATGCCCAGCCGCACGTTTTCCGGTGTACGGCACAGGCTCATGAACCCTCCCACCCGCCTCTTGAGATGGTAGGTGGCGACGACGGCAAACAGGAATGCTTCATCATGTGACAGGTCATTCTTCGAAATACATCTTTCTTTATTTATTGCTGTCGAACATGTTTGAAGCAAGGTGGGTAGGTGCTTACAAAAAAATTCTTGCTCAAGCTTTGACTTCCCTCTTCCCCTCGTAGTGTTCACACTACTTCCCCAGTCTTCACTTCTCAAAGTGATCTGAGACATTCCCTAGGGATCGGTCTTGGCTTTCAAGAAGTGGCTTCGACTGCTTCTGGACGACTTGGCTTTTCCAGGTTCTGTCTCAGCCATTGCATTCTGGTTCTGGTATTGACTCTTTTGCGAAGAGCCTCTCCTTCGTCGAACAACTGTCGGAGTGTGAAGGAGTTGCATTTCTATTTTTTAAATCGTAGAGCGACTTACAATCTGTTATGGTTGTTGCTTCTGAGGTCTCTATGCGATCTAGGGCTTGTTTTGATTGGCACAAGGATTCATTTGGGTCTGTCAAGTCCTTTTCACACAGCGTCGAAAATGCTGGAGGCAGTTTCAGGAGCGTCTTGTCTCCAAGCTTCCATTCGCATGTGTTGTCGATGAGCCAGGCCCAGAACAAGCGAACCCAGGAAAGAATGTCTACTGCGCTTGCCAGTGACATGGCTTCGGCTGACAGTGTGCTCACAGCAACCTTTTGGATTTTGCGTGAAGCCCAAATGATTGGGTTTTCTGGACTCCCTTGGTTTTTAGCTATGTTTTTGTGGCTTGCCATGATCAATAGACCTTTCTTCTCAATGCTTTGATATTTGATGGTGACGTCGGCATTTGTTTTCGCTTCATGCAATGTTCTATTTGCTTCCTGCAAGTCTTTTACCTGACCATTGTTTATCTTACTTTGGAGGTTTCCAAGGCGACTGCATAGGTCAGGTCTCGTGTTGACCCCTGCATAGAGCAAACTGCCTATCACCGCTCTGAGTGCTTGTCTTTCTGTTTCCGTTATTGGATCGTCTGGTGTTTTCCTGCGATCACTGGACACATGGATCGGGTTGATCCCTTTTACAATACATATTCAGTTTGATCCACGTGAATCGAGAAGTCTTCCTGTTGGGAAATATGAAGACCGGTGAATACGAAATCTGTATGCTTTTGGCTTCCAAAAGGGAACCGTTTGGACAGTTTTTGAATCTTCTCATGCATTTCAGGGGTTCCACAATATATCCCATCATCAACGTGGACACCAACAAGAGGAATTGTTTCTCCCTTTTTGTTTGGGAGTGCAAACAGTGACGGCTTAAATCCTAGTTCTACTAATCCCTTAGACAACTCTCTGAACCAGAGTAGCGGAGCGTCCGCTCTCCCGTATGCACCCTGTTGCAGTTGGACTATTTCATTTGGACCAAGTTTCACGATTCTTTTCATTTCTTCTGGTGGTTCAAGTCCGGGTAGTCGGTCCTCATCGGCAGTGCCCCGCAAAAAAGTAGTTTTGACATCGAATGATGCAACGTTCCACTTGCAAGACGCAGCATACTGCAACAGAAGCAACCGGCCTAATTTCGACAAAGTGGATGAGTCTCGTTGGATCAGGTGAAGACTGGGGTCTTCGTATCCAAGGACTACCAGTCTGGCTTTTGGTGTCCTGTTGGTGTTGCCGACCGACAGCGGTGTCATTTGTCAGGTGCGTGTTGTTCTCACTGTCTTTCCAGGTCAAGATCCAGCGACGTCTCAGGATATTTTCCCGTGGAATCTTGTTTCTGAGAATTCTTGAGACCGTATTGGTATCTAACCAGCTGTTGATTTCTTTTGTTTTGGTCTGTTCAAACAACTGTCGGTCTTTGCTTCCTAACAATGACAATTTTACTTCTACTTTCTGTCTTTTTGCTGTTGTTGCTAAAAATGACACTGTCTCTTCAGGTGTTGAACAATTGGTCATTGCTATCAAGTCTCTTCGGTTCATGGGGATTTCATATTGCCATACTTGGTCGGTGTCTACCGAAAAACTTTCACAGACTAAGTCGACTTCGCTCTCCACAGGGAGAGGGACATTTTCGGGTAGGATTTCTTTGGCATGGCTTGGCGACTCTGAAGGAGCGCCACTTGAGATAGGTATTTCTGGTTCATTGTCTGGTTGTTCAGAACATGTGGCCGACGGGTTGGAGGCGATGTTTTCTGGACCATTTTCCCTTAGGTTCTGACTCTCTGGCCCTGTAGCTGGAATGCTACTCTGAGGAAATGTTTCATTTGTTACATCTCGAAAGTTCTGAGGCGTTCTGGCAAATCCCGTGGGTTCCTGAGATGCCTTGTCTTTCAGCTCGGTCTCTTCTACCGCGGTCACTTAGCCAGACTACATTATGGTCTTCCTGCATCACTACTTTGAGGGGACCTATCCATTTTTGATTTTCCCTCCATAGCATGACCCATTCCCCTGAATGATATTGACCTCGGCTGGGTCTTGATCTTTGCAGGATGGCTCTGCGCATTGCCTGGCTGTTGTCCACCTTGCTGAATGCCTTTCTGGCTCTTTCCCCGATGGCAAGTTCTGCGCGGAATCGAATGCCTTCTGCAGTTTGGGACTCTGTGACCGAATGTGAGGTTCTATCAAAATCACTCGACACGGATGCGGCATATTTGCGAAGCTTACCAAACACTAGAATTTCCGGTGGGAAGCCTCTGTGACGGCTCCATTGATCTTTGGTTTGTGTAGCAAATGCCAAACACGTCTCCAGTTGGTCGTACGTTTCGATGCTCTCTTCTAGGTCCATTTTGGTGATTATTTCTTGGAGGATACCCCCATGTCTTTCAGCCCTAGAATTCTGCCAAGAAGCTTCTGGAGGGATCATTCGTTCTTTAATACCATGTCTCTGGAGAAATTCTAAGAACTGATCTGTCCCGAAATCAGTGGCGGAGTCGAGACACAGCAGACCTGGTGCACCTAAGCCTTTTGAGCGGCTTCTGAGTTCCGGCGTGGAACCTGAGCCAGCGCTTTCTCCTTCAGAACCATGCAGGCATGCTCTGCTAAGCTTCCCCAAGCAACAAAGTCCTGACAGGTCCCTACGGAGCGACTGGCTCCGCCACCAATCACAAATGTGATTGGTAGACGGAACCCTTCCCTCTCAACCTGGACGACCACGTCCGCCAACAACAATGACCACTGTCAATGTAAAAAAGACCAAGGTGCCCTGCGCCACAATGTAGGCAACCCTCAAAAGAGCCCTGCGCAACCACTGGTTTCCGCCCTTCCGTAGCCAATGCCCAGCCGCACGTTTTCCGGTGAACGGCACAGGCTCATGAACCCTCCCACCCACCTCTTGAGATGGTAGGTGGCGACGACGGCAAACAGGAATGCTTCATCATGTGACAGGGTATTCTTCGAAAAAATGATACATACATATATATATATACTGTATATATACAGTGTGTGTATATATATATATATATACCACAGGCAGGATATTTAGAACTGGATTCAACACTGTACGTTGACCGCCTTGCCGCGGGCAGTCAAGTTGGAAATTTACGCCGTTCAAAGACGCTGGTGGCCAGACCGCAGCTATCCAGCATAGTCCTCTCATCTCTGATGTTTTGATGTATTCTCCTTTGTCGTGTTGTCGGCCTACTAGGTCATGTTGCTTACCGTAGTAATGTAAGTTTTTTGCCCATGTCAGGTAACTCATGCGCCAGACAATTACTCCGATGCTGCAACAACTGCAATTGGAGATAACTCCGTGCTGGGAATGACAAAGCCGCGTAGCCCTTTTACTCCTTTTTGAGTTGTGTCATGTAGATGTCCATGAAGCGGCCAAATATGGCAATGATTTTTGACACAGTGGGTGCCAAGCAGCAATTCTGCAGAATTGCAGTTGAGTTTAAGTGTTGGTCGTGACTCTATGTGTGGTACCCCGAAAAGCTGGACGGGTTGTCTTGGACACTGCACCTTCTACCAAAACCTGCATTTCTGCTGCCAACTTGCAAGCTGTGATGTCAGGAAAGACATTGGTTTGATGACAAGTAACGCTGGCCGTTGGACAGCTGGAACCATCAACCTGGAACCAGGAAAACCTGGGAACTGTGGAACTTTTCTGCCACAGAGATCATTGCACAGAACTCTTTTTGGGCTGGTCGCTGAACTCGTTCAGCTTGGCACGTTTCGGACTTGAGATGAGTCCTGTGAAAGTCCGTCCTGTAGAGAGGAGTCCCTTGTCGATAATGAATCATTCAACGTCCTGGTCAGATCTCACCCTGACATTGATTGCATCATTGTAGAGTGTGTGCGGGAATCATGTTTTCGCCCTGCTGTTGGGTTACGTAGTTTTCAATTTTCCTTCAAACATTCCATCATTGTTATATCTCATCATCTCTATATATATATACACAGTATATATAAAGTCCGGCAGTTGGACTTGCAGATCTTACACCCATGGCAAATAGCTAGGCTTATCGTATTTGTTTTTTGCACAGGCCACCCGCCCAGTCCATCGGGGAGACGAACAGTTGCAGCCCCAATTTCAGTGTGTCAACAGAGAGTATCAGATTCTTTGAGTTTGTCATTTTTGCGCTCTAAAGGCAGAAAGAAAGACGGACAGATCTAAAACGTCTGAAAGGTCTATATAAAGAAAAAAGAATTGACGCATGGCTACTAGTAACAAGGGCATCGCTACTAGTAGCAAGAAGCTAGTAGTAGCAGGTGCATCGCTGCAAGTAACACTGTCACTGTCATGTTGCACATGCAGAGACTCCTGTGAGCCGAGGCTTGGCACAATCCACCCAGTGCTGCGTGGGGTTCGCCACACAACGCAGTGGTGCATCTCCAAGAACACCTCTCTTCGCGTGCTTTTCGTTTCGAAATCAGTGCGAGAAAGGCGGATAGAGAGAAGAACTTGAGAGAAAAGAGAGAGAGAGAGAGAACAACTTGAACAGATGGAACGGGGAGGAACGAAAGCCAGTAGAATCGAGATGTAAGTCCTGCTTGTAAGGCAAGGGGCAGCTGACAAAGTAGAAATACCAAAAAGCTGTGCAGAAAGAAAACGGCTTGAACAGCACCAACCGACCAACCAGCCAGCCAGCCAACCAACCAGCCAGCAACCCAACCAACCAGCCAGCCACCCAACCAACCAACCAACCAGCCAGCCACCCAACTACCCAACAACCCAACCCACCAACCCACCCACCAACCAACCCACCGACCAACCCGCCAACCAACCATCCAGCCAACCAACCAACCAAACAAACAAACCAAAAACAACAAGAATAACAACACCAAACATAAACATAAACAACAACAACAACAACAACAACAACAACAACAACAACAGCAACAGCAACAGCAACAGCAACAACCACAACCACAACCACAACCACAACCATAACGACAACCACAACGACAACGACAACGAGAACAAGAACAAGAACAACAGCAACAGCAACAGCCACAACAACAACAGCAGCAACAACAACAACAACAACATCAACAACATCAACATCAACAACAACAGCAACAACACCAACAGCAACAAACAAACCACAACAAACAAAAAATCACACACAATCAATCAATCAATCAATCAATCAATCAATCAAGCAATCAAGCAAGCAAGCAAGCAAGCAAGCAAGCAAGCAATCAATCAATCAAGCAAACAAACAAACAAACAAACAAACAAACAAACAAACACACAAACACACAATCAAACAAACAAGGGTGTTGGCCTCTTCATCACAAACGCTGCGACCAAAGCCTCCAAGAACGTTGAAGCGACCCGTCAGCATGTTTACGAGTCACTTCACTTTCCCTTCTACGTCCCAAACCCCTCACAAGCTGTTTCAACAAACTTGTACATAAACTCCAACTTGCCTGCGGAAGCCAAAACTGCAGTCGTGGAAGCTCACGGAAGCCACCGTGTACGTATATGGTAAAATTCACCACCGCTGAAGCTTTGCGGAAGTGCATATTTTTATCTTCTTGACAATACTAAATACTTCTACTACTAAGGAGATCTATGATCTACCGGCTAAAACATGTTTCAAAGCATTTTAGCGGATTGGATTCTGGTGCCAAAGCACGTTCGCAATGCAACAGCATTTAGTAGCCCTTGACTGACGACCAATCAAACATCAAAACATATCAACATCATGTATATATTATATACACACATATTTATGAGTACGCGACATGAGTGTTTTGTGTTGAAACAATTGGCCAGCCAACTGCTCCCAAACAGCGTAACAAAGCAAGAACAAATTGGTGCTTGAACACAAGCCTGCGGTTGCACAATACCCCCAGAGCTGCCGTAGCCGCAGAGCACAGTCCTTCGCATCAGGTTGTGGCAGGTTGTGCAATCGTGGTGGGAAAGATGACATTTGGTACTCCTATTTCAGATATATACTTTACCGACCCGATCGGTTTGCCTGTGGACCTTCTAAGGGTGGGGCTGAAGCTGATCCTGGTGTTGAGGAGATTTCTTTGGAAACAAGGCCAGAGTATCCCTGGTTTTGGAATTCTGATTTCTAACTTGCATAGGTAATGGCGTTCTTGGAGGTGCCTTTATGCCTTTGTTTGAATGGAAGTAGCATGTGCAGTCAACCGCACCGCACCACCTTTGAGCCTTGTTGTCCTTCTATTGTTACCGCTGTCTTGGCCCTTCAGCAGATGTTGGAGTCGGAAGGCTTGAAGAAAGGACCAATCAAAGCCACACTCGTTGTTGTACGTTTGACGCCTCTCAATGAAAGACATGCCCACCCTGAGAAACAATTAACAGTATCCAGAGATAGTCTGATGTGTACTTCGTCCTTGGGCCATGTTCTCATTCCGGGAGGTTGGACCCGCACTGGCAGTCGGAATTGTGCTTTGGAAATTTGTTCTACCAGGGTCTTCTTTGGGAGGCCCTAGCTGAGGATGAATTTCCAGCAGTGCATGCTACTCAGATCCTTGTGTCAAACCAAAGCTATGTGCTCTAGCTTTTAGGGATTTTGGTGTCTTGACATTTCTTGACTCCAAGCATGTATGAATCAGTATGAATGTATATACTTCACCAACGCACTACCAGAATGCGAGTTGTTGAGAAGGACTATGCATCTCATACGTCTCATACGTTTTGGCAACACTCTAGTCCCTCAGGTGTCCTGCAGGTGAGAATGATATTGACCCCAGTGATGATTGGGATCTGGACTTCTCCTTCCAGGAAACTCTATGAGCTTCTGTGCACGTCTAGGCACGTTTGTTTGCTTTTTCAGCAACTCCAACGTTGGCCAGGACGAAAACATTCGTCCAGAAATCCGACTGTATGCTGGGGTACAGCCCCGAGTTCATCCGAGTTCCAAATTCCCTCTAGGTGGCTTGCACGGGATTCCTTCCTACAAGTCAGTTGTCAGCCGCCAGTGAGCAATCCAATGACAAAAACAAGAATGAGAAGGATCGGGTGAAAGATGCAGTGGCCAAAACTGAATCAAACTCATCAAAGAGTTTCTCAGCTGCCGTTGCAGGTGCGACTGCGCATATTTCTGTATCCATCCAACTTACAAGGGCAATCACACATGCCACACGGCAGACAGCAACAAATGCAACTGCAAGGAGCAAATTGTGAGTTGACAAGCACAGGCATCAAAGACCAGATGTAGCAGCTCGATCTCAATTTACCCCGAACAAGTGACAACATTTACCGGAGCAGCGACCAGTGCTTGGTGGCATTTGCAACAATTGACAGTGCCTGTCCCAGCTCTTGCTGCGGGATCCAACTTCCAGCGAACATCGATAAAGTTGTTTTGAAAACAATCAATCAATTCAATTGGGTTTGTTCATGTTTTGGGCGCCCGTGCTTTGTTGAGTTGTCACGCATTTGTAGTTTTGATGCCTTCGCTGAAGCGAATCTGCTGATCACCATGTGAGCTTCGATTCCCTTTTGTTTTGAGTTTTGTCGAGCAGGTTGGCGGAGCACGAATTGTGTGCTGATGCGGATGTGTGGTCTATTGCATTGAATTGCAAGTTTTGTCAGCGCACATCGGTTCGGATAATACCCTCATCTTCGGAACGCACACAATTAACAAATTCTCCGCGTGAGTCTAAGTACTATAGCATGGCCCTTACAATAACTCCGATAAATGTGTTGCTGTACCTAGCACTTGACCAAGCAAACCAAATTTTCCCAATGCAGATGGAACTCTGGTACGCAGGCGACTGGAAGCAGCTACATACAACCTAGGAAGGATTCTTTCCATCATCATTGACGTGCATTGACAACCATCGGAAATCGAACAGTAGATCAGCTTGCTCTATCGCCACTTGTAATCGGCCGGGAGAAGCCAACACGATAGTTGCATGCAAGCTTCGGTTCTTTGAGACGAATGAAGAGCACGGTCTTGTCTTGAGCCAAGTAAAAGCCAAGGACGCCCGACTTGTCCAAGATCATGTTTCATTCTACGAGTAGTTCAGAAGGAAGCTTACTCGGACGATCGTTTCTTGAGCCAAAGCGAAGGTGGTCTAAGTTCGTTCCACGACCTGTTACCGTCTTCCTATCCAAAAAGTTGAGAGTGCAAATCTCGTGATCACACTCCCCCTGATCGCTTCGCGATCACATTGACGCTCGAGCTATCCTTCAAACATCTCAAAGCTGCCATCACTGTCCTCTTCTTCTGGCTGAGGAAGGTCAGGCGTCGGTGTTTCAGCTCAGCTCCTCCACTCCTGGATGTGGTCTGGGGATACCAGACTGTGGTGGTGGTGACCCTGACTTTCAGAAGCTGGACTCTGATGCCCAGTGCCTTGATGACCCTGCCTCTACAGTTGAAGCTCCACAGCCGTAGAATGTGCAGCGGTCCTTGGACAGAGCTCTCATATAACAAACTCCTTCTACCCTGAGTCTGCAGTTTAAAGGCCTGCTTTGTTTGTCAATGATTCAACGATCTCCCCCCAAGCTTCCACTGATCTTGTGCTACTTGGCAAGGATCCTGCTCGTGCCAGATGGAGCTTTAGCTGAGCCACATCCACTGGAGTTCCTCGATGAACTGGGCGGAAGGCAACAACTCGCGGGCGGCCATGAACCCTCACAATTCAGCCGTTGCCACTCTGCATCCATCTATCTTGACCGCGAGGTGGATCCTGGAATTGAAGAAGCTACCCGGGACCCCTCGTGGTTCCATGGCGAAGCGCTGCCACGCTGCATGGCTTCATAGGGGCCATGGCATTCTCATCGCAATCGCTGCTATCGAAGTAGCTGTTTGGGCTAAGTGATCCTGCCCCATTGTCCTCCCTCACCTTTTCTTGTGACTCTATTTTTTTTGACCAGGAACCGCTGCCTGAATTCTGACCGGAGAAGGTCAATGGGAGTTGTGCCCTTGGGGGTCTCGTCGATTCTGATGCCTACGATCACGGCACTATACATGCCCTACTGGGTTACGGCGGCTGTGAGACTCAAACGCTTGACCACATGGCCCAAAGCGCCCTGGTTCCCTGAGTGCCAAGGCCCACTGAATAGATAGGCGCGCGCTCGATTGTACAGCGCAATGAGACCCTGATTGCCGGGCCCACTGGGGACCATGCGAGGCCACATACGCAGCCAAGAGCCCGTATGCCTTGTCCCTCATCTCCAGTGAATCGGCCAGGATGATTTTTTCAGAGATTTGGCTCTGGTGATTTGGCAAGCATGTACTCTGCGTTTTCATGCCAGAAGCGAAGTTGAGGAAGGTCTCCATTCCGAAACCTATATGACCAATCGGCCAGAGCCTCCTGCAGCACATAAAGTGAGTGTGAGATCTCCGAAAGCTTTGATTCGCTGTAGAACGAGGATCTTAGGGGGCTTGCAACCAGAAGACGCTGTTGGTAGACACAAAGTGTCCCGACAGCTGGTGACTTTGTTTTGGCTGAGTTCAAGGAGGCTCTTGCTGACTCGCCTATTATTTGCCCTCTCTGCCAAAACACTCCGCAAGCTTAGGAATTCAACTTTCGATACCATTTCTCGCGTATCCACACCTAGTAGACTTCCTTGCTCAGTGTTGTTTCGCTGCCTCCTTGCAGTCTGCCATGGATGCCTGTGTTACTTCCCTGCAGTCCCGGGTGTCAAACATGTCAGCTCTGGCCACGGCGACAGCAAAAGGATATGTCATCAGGACGGGGCAGGCAAAACACAGTTTTCACCTCCACAGCCCCGATCGCCCAAGATTCAGTAAGGTTTCGGTTCGGTTGGAATCGGTTTGAATGTTTAATAGTTTATAATTGAAACTGCGAATCGGTTCGGTTTGGTTGTAGAAGTCTTTTTTTCATGGACTTTCGGTTCGGTTCACGGTTCGTTTCGGTTCTGTGAGGTATAAGTTTCGCAGTGGGGTAAAGAAAAGAAAGGCAATGATAAAGAGACAAGACAAGACTTTGCTTTCCTTTCCTTAAAATAGTTACTTTCCTGTTCTTTCCTTTTCTTTTGCTTTCCATTTTCCCTTTTTCTCCTGTCCTGTCCTGTCTTATCTATAGTCTATAGTCTAGGAAGGGAAAGCAAAGAAAGGGAATAGAAAAGGAAAAGCAAGGGAAGGAATGCAATTTGCGAATATGCTTTTTCCAGGCCTTGCAAAAAGCATAATGGAAAGGAATGCCAAGAAAAGGAAAAGGAAGGAAAGGAAAGCAAAGCAATGGACAAAGAAAGGAAAAGGAAAAGGACAGGTAAGGTATGCAATTTGTGAATATGCGTTTTCCTGGCAGTCTAAAAAGCATATTGGAAAGGAAAGGAAAAGGACATGGAAATGGACATGGGCAGGTGGGAATGCAATTTGTGAATATGCTTTTTCAAGGCCTTCCAAAAAGCATATAGGAAAGGAAACCCCAGAAAAGCAAAAGGAAGGAAAGGAAAGCAAACCAATGGACAGGAAAAGGAAAAGGAAAAGGGCAGGTAAGGTATGCAATTTGTGAATATGCTTTTTGCTGGCAGTCTAAAAAGCATATTGGAAAGGAAAGGAAAGGAAAGGAAAAGGAAGAGGACAAGGAAAGGAAAGGAAAGGACAATGTCGGGGAAAGGAAAGGAACAGGAAATGGACAGTTAGGAATGCAATTTGTGAATATGCCTTTTCCATGCCGTCTAAGAAGCATATTGGAAAGGAAAGCAAGGAAAAGGAAAGGAACGCATTTTATGAATGCGCCTGAAGCCGGGCCGGGCCAGTGACATGCTGTATGGACATTCCAGTGGGGCACTGCTGCTCTGAAACTCAAGACTTTGGACAGTCTGAAAAAACGTCACAGCGGAACAGAGCGGAACGGTTCGTTTTTTTTTCCGGCTCGGTTGTGTTTGGAAAGTTGACGGTTGTAATGATTCGGTTGATGAAAAATTTCGGTTCTTGACATTCGCTGACTTTCGGTTCCGAATCGATTCGGGACCCTTCCTGAAGACTCCAGAGCCGGTTTATGTGCCAGACACCTGAGTGTTGTGCCGCATACCCCACCTGCGTATAGAGTATAGAGAGTACAGCGATCCTGCGAGATTGTTGCCGCAAATGAAGATTCTAGCTTTGCGACGACCATGTGGACTTTTCACTGCAGGCACCAGGAGAGCAGGCGCCATCTCCATC